AAAATGTTTCCGCAGAATTCTGTGCAAAAATTTCCGCCGAGTTTAAGACATTTACGACGAAAAATTTCTGCAGAATTCTTCTACATCGGGAAAAGAGAAGAATTCTGCCGAGATTTTTCGTCGTAAAAGTCTTAAACTGGGCGGGAATTTTATCTAAGAAAAGAACAGAGTTCTTCAGATTTTTGAAAGATCCCTGCAGAATGCGGCGGGAAAAGTGCTGTGTTGACCTGTGCATGCTGACCTTTCTGACAGCTTGTGATGACTGTGCACAAGATATTGCACGCAGACTGTAACGGATTGATGTTTTTGTAATAATAACTCAGTGACAGTATTGGTCAGACTGGAAAGTCGAAATTGCGGGAACTCCGGGACTCGCTACACTCCTCTCGATGTTTGTCGTAGTGTTGTTGTCACCTCGAACTCCCAGCCCCGTGGGAAAGAGCCACTATGCACGAAGAAACACTGAATCAATTGCACTAAATTACGTCTCGGGCTGTCAATAGCTTTACCCGCCGCCTCTAAGCCTGGTGATCTCAGTAGCACTACCTGATACCTCCCGCCCTAGTCAAATAACCTACCAAGCCCTGTACACCAGAATTGATATTTCGTTACTCACTCTCATGCATTTTTCTAAAAGGAAAATGCCACATGTGTATCTTAGTCATTATGTGAATTGTTTTATGTAGTAAGTGATAAACGCACGTTGTCGTTTTTTGCACTACAAAACTAGGAAACATGGAAAAAGAGAGTATCTGTCTCGTTTTGATTATAATTTTCTCTTCTACAGAATAAGAACAAAATCATTTAAATACTGACGTTTGATAAAATACTGCTTTTAAAACCATTCTTAAAGTAAAACTTGGAGAGAGAGCAGTTGAAAATCGAATTAAATTGTAGAGAAAGTACAAAACTGCACAGAACATGATTAATACTTTAATCAAACTTATTTTATTGTGATATTTCGACAAGTTCTCTTGCCATCATCAGACAATAAAGATTGTTACAAAATGTCAAAAAAAAGAAAGAAGTATATATATAGTAGTAAACGTAAAAACAGGAATTTTCTACATTATTCATTAATAGACAATGTATTTGGTATTGTTTATGTGCTTGTTGTGATTTGAGCCTGTTATCATACAATTTGAATTGAACAAACTTAGGAATGACATTATAGATCAGACACAACCGTAAAAATTCCAGATCGCATTTACATTTTTGATTCGTCATGTCGATGATTAAGTATAAAATATCAAAAATGTAAGTGCGATCTGGAATTTTTACGGTTGTGTCTGATCTATAATGTCATTCCTAAGTTTGTTCAATTCAAATTGTATGATAACAGACTCAAATCACAACAAGCACATAAACAATACCAAATACATTGTCTATTAATGAATAATGTAGAAAATTCCTGTTTTTTTGTAACAATCTTTATTGTCTGATGATGGCAAGAGAACTTGTCGAAATATCACAATAAAATAAGTTTGATTAAAGTATTAATCATGTTCTGTGCAGTTTTGTACTTTCTCTACAATTTAATTCTAATAGTGATTATGGCAATAAAGTGTAATAAAGGACTTTTATTACTGTGATGTCTCGCCGTCTCACGACTAAACTGCCAAGGGAAATACAACGAATGAAGAAGCTTATCAGAACAACAAAAGGCGAGACATGCCTCCTGCACAGCTTCAGGACGGAACATATGGAATAGAGAATTCCATTCAATCTGGGATCTTTGCAGCCATTCGAATCCATTGATTAATAAAATTTTAAAATCAATATCGAGTAATAAAAGTGTTTTATTGCTATAATCACTTTAGGAATGCTTTTAAAAGCAGTATCTTATCAAAGTCAATATTTAAATGATTTTGTTCTTATTCTATAGAAGAGAAAATTATTGAGCGACCTACACTGGAGCGACCCTAACAGTTGAGCGATCCCGACATCAGACACTTTTCTATATGACTTTTTTCCGATCAGGAAAATGGAATGATTGTTCACTTGGGTAGCGATGATGGTAACAATTGTAAGGATTTATGTAAGCCAGAGATGTGACAAGAAACACTTATATTTCTGTGCGGGAGGAAGCAGTGATCGTGGCTGTGAGTTTTTAAAAAGACAAACCAAGAAGAAAGACATGAGCTGTCAAGTACGCGTTTCGGCTTTGCTCAAGGGCCTCGTCAGCTGGGCTGAGAAAATACAAAGACGGTATTCGTGACACAAGTACACTGTTTTATGCGTGTGTCGTATAGCAGATTTTTGCAACTTTTTATAGTAAAAATCGATGATAAAAACTTTTTCAATGGATGAAAGAGACTGAGGAAGTCGCTCAAGTGTCGGAAAGTCAGTAGCTTCTTGCCGCTAATCCCGGAAGTTTCATCTTTTAATTTTAAGTTCCATCTATTTATATCACTACATTAGAGTGAAAATAAACCAGAATATCAGTGTTTGGATGTTGAAAAAAAGTTTTAGTTTTAGTTCTGTAGATGAATATACGGATATTTTAATTAAAAATGGAAATAATAAGAGGATTTGTTGAACAATTAAACGAAATTGAAATTCTTCAATCTTTCTATTCTTTACCTGGCGAATTTGTAATAGATGATTTGATAGCATTTGATGAAGCAAATGCTTTTGTTAGTGGAAAAATAAAATCTATAGAACGAAAAGTCAGTTTTATTATCAAACTAAATATTGATGATCAGTTTACTGAACATATTGAAGAATGCGGTGAAAAAGTAAGTGATTTGTTAATCGAATAAAGTTAGAAGATGATGATCTCAGTAATAAATTATTTTTATTTATTAAATTTAGCGAACTATAGAATTACAAATTGCATATCCTTCACAGTATCCATTACTGTCGCCTGATGTTTGTCTTCGTACTTATTTTTCACCAAAAATTTCGTTCAATATTACAAGAATTTCTAACCATTAAAACGGCATCAAATAACGAACCATATATTCTTGAATTATTAATGCATATTAAAGATAGTAATGTTTCTCACTAATTATTAAAAATGATATATCATCTAATGTTACAGAGCAATTAATAACAAAACAAAGTCGACTATGGATATATAGTCATCATATTTATAATATTGCAAAACGACGTCATATCGTTAATTGGGAAAATGAATTACGATTATGTGGATTTTCATTACCGAGTAAGCCTGGTAATAATATTATGATTGAAGGAGATGATATAGATGTAAATACGTTCTGGTCTCGTCTTCGCTCATTACAATGGAAACGTTTACAAATTAAAGAAAAAGAAGATATCGAAAACGATGATAAAAAATTTGATAATTTTGAAGAACTCTCGTGATAATGGGAAAAGGTCGAGACTATCATATGAATTTCAGTCACTTTTATCAATTTTTTAATTGAAAAAAATTGGAAAATATATTTAGTACGTACTTTGGAGTAGATGGAACAGTAGCAGAAAAAAATTAGCAAATGAAATTTATTACATAATTTTTTTTTAAAGTTTAATTGTTAAGTAAATTGTTTACGTTCGTCAGATACAATTTTCTTGTTATTTCTCATTTTATTGGCCATATTTTACTAGAGAAAGATGAGCGCAGAATGATACACATGTTTAACTACCTGATCATGAATTTTTACAACACTCTATTTTATTCTTGTCATTTGGACCGATTCACCATTATGCTAATGAAAATTTCTTTTCTCTATTAAGAATTACATATTTGAAGAGACTTCTTGAATTAAAAAAGAACATGATGGTAAATCAAACTCACATTGTGATCAGGTTTTGTTAAGCCAAAGAAAAAGTAACTGTGGATGAGCATATACTTTTTTTTCTATATCCTGTTCGCTCGTATAACATATTTCAAAATGAGTGTGTATTCTGAATCGCGTGAAATTTCTCTAAAAATAAAGTGTATCCGAATGCAGTAAAAAATAACTTCGGAGACGGCAAACAGATAAAACAATTTATGCAACGATCAAGTTTATTATTCAAAAAATTGTTATTTAGGTATTATTAACATAAGTCCTCAATATTGATCTTCGATTTACCTGAATGAAGGCTGGAAAAATCATTGTAAATAATACTTTTTCTTTATTACAAGGATTTTTAACAATTAACTTATCTTGATCTTTGCTGATAAATGTGAAATATCAAAAAGAATACGAAAAACATTTTTGTCACACAATCATATACTGATTGAAATAAAACGAAGAATTCTGAGTCGTCGGTTATGTAGTAAAACGCTACAAGATACACTAAAATGGAGAAATGCTTTTTTTAATTCATAGTTGTTGTATTTTCTTTATGAGTTTCGTACTAACTGTTTTGTTTAGTCCGAAAAAGACGTCATTTTCATATTCTACTACTTATTGCACCTGTGTGAAGTTTGAAATGTGTCAACTATTCTCTCTCTTTAGTCCTTACAACAGTTCGAAGAAGATCATAACAGAAAGCTTTTAACAGACAGAGAAGTAGTCTTTCCTGGATTTGACATCACAATTCGGAATCAGAAGATTGAAACTGTTGACTCTTTCACCTAACTAGGATGTAGCGTAACAAGAGACCAAAGACCAGATAGTGAAATCAGTACAAGACTGAGTGAAGCCGCAACGGCATTCAATATGTTAAGACATGTCATTTAGAGCAGGAAAAGCATTTCAATCAAGTCGAGACTAAAAGTGTTTCGTGCCTGTGTTCTCCTTGTCTTATTGTATTGAAGTGAAACGTGGTCTATCACAAGTGCACATGAACGTAGAATAAACACCTTTTATATGAAACGCCTACGTACAGTCATCGGTGTGAATTTAGGCGATAGAATGCCAAATGAAAAGATCTTAGAAATCACGGGACAGCCACCAATTGACAACATCCTACGTAGAAGCAGACTTCGGTGGTCTGGGCATGCCAACAGAATGATGAACAGAAATGACGAACCGTCAGTTGTGCAGAAAATGACATTTTTATACTTCCCACAAGAGTAACGCCCTCGCAACGCGAGCATAAGAAAGAGATGGGAAGACAAAGTTAAAGATGACATAGAATTTCTCAAAATTACCAACTGGAGAAGACAGACTCTTGACAGAGATCAATGGCGTGATCTTATTAATAGCCAGAGCAGACCAATTCACCCTAACATCAAAGACATTATTTTTGTGTATAAACACCGTGCAGTACAATGCAGAGGAACTAAGTTAGCGGCATCACAGGGAGTAGTGAAGAAAAAGGTAACAGAATTGTTAGTTAAGAATAGCAGTGGTAAATATCAATGTCCTGGTTGTGGAAAAATCTTTATGCCTCAAGGAATTACACTGCATGCTAAAGTGTGTGCTAAGGATTGGTACAAAAAGAACAACATTAAATGAACAAAATAATATGATGGTAAACACCTATTGGAATTTGACTTTGTGAGAATGATGGGTATCACTTAAACTGATTACAGAGGGTGGTATCTTGATAATTAACTTAGTTCAATTTTCAATAGAAACGACCACTCTTTCCTTTTTTTGTTTTATTTTTCCTGATGTTTTTTTTCTCACCCTACACCAGAAATGGTAGCGGGTCTAACTAACTATTTAGACCTATATCATACAATGACCATTTTTTCAGTCCGTAGCAATTAATGTTTTTCTCCCGCTGATTTTACTAAATGTGGTACAAACTAAAGTGAATTTTTCTTGTTAATTTTCTTTTTCTATTCCCTAAATAAAGTCTTTGTATACAGTTATAACTATTATATATAGTAGATGAAATGTGATAAGTTGAATAAGACGAACACCCACATACTCGTGTAATCCAGGGATACTTTCTTTTTCTTTATGAGGGAGGAGAGCAGGAGGTCTCCCAAATGTTTGGATCTCCTCTACGTTCTTACATATATTCGAAAATGGACGGTCGAACAGGAAGACGCTTGTTATGAGGTAAAGAGGGGAGTTCTTTTCTCTATTTTTACTGATGGAGATGTGTATGTATTTTTGAAAGGATGATTATCAACTATTCTACTTTATTTTAAACGTCTTAAAAATTTTTTTAATAGAAATTGTTGCTATTCCGTCTTATGGTAAGTCAAAAGATAATTAGAATTTGAGAGGTTTTTTTACTATGTTTTGGGATTATACCTCATGTTTTTATCTCAAAGTAAAAAGTATCAGAGAGATCAGCGACCATATTGATAAAGCTTAACAGCGTATCTATGATGTAAAGTGGAACTTCTCTCCGCTAAATTTAGGGAACCAGAGCTGGTTCATCATGCTCTTTAAAAAAATGTGTAGCTTAGAAAACGGATATCGATTTTGACAATTGTTCTTAATACAAATCGATATCCGTATTGTACAGTCCCGTTTGGCCGTTTTGCAGAATACGCTTGAATATTGTCTTCTTCGTGGACTAAGGTTTTGAATGAGGGGAAAATAGGGTTTATAATAAAGAGTGGAAAGTGAGTTCCAGGTGATTTCTCCCATATCAGTGTGAACATTCCTACTGTCCATTTCAAAATAGAATGTATGCGATTGCGATTCGAATAACTCCGAGACGTTACTAGCTACTGACCACAGTATTTTCTTGTAGGTCAAACGACAAAAAAGTACAGCATACAAGTATAGCAAAATTACTTTTTCTATACCTGCATTAACCTGTCTTATTCTTAATGTATCTTCTTTTTTTGAAGAATGATAAAAGCAATAAACCCGCATATCTAATTGTTCTCCTCCAAGAGTGTATGACTTGAATCTGTTCACCTTTGAGATTGATTATAAAATATTGTTCTCCTTCAAGAGTACACAATTTAAAATTGTTCTTAATTGAGATGGCGTCGAATTTTCTTTTCTGAATTTTTTTACTTTTCACTTTTCTATCTATAGTGTATAGAAGAAAGAAAATACGGACGTACAATGTGAAAGGAGTCTAATATTGCTTATTTATTATCGCTCTATTCATACTTTAGTCATTCTGTACTATAGAGTGAAGGAAAAAAACGACTGTCCTAAATTCACCATTATTGTTAGTTTTGCTACTTTAGTTATTATGTCAAACAGAAAAATCTAAAGAATTTTCGTCTTCACGTAGAATAAATACACGTAGTACAGATTGTCTTGATTTCAGTTCAATAAACATCACTGACTGACTGCTCTATATCATCGTCCGAGTCCAATAACAGGTATGTACGAGAAAACATTATTTGGAATCAGACTACTTGTGAATAACTTCTACAGGATAATAGCGACAGACCTACGGTTTTCGCTATTCGAAAGATGAGACGGAAGGAAACCTTAGAATCTACATGTGGTGCATCTAGTCAAAGCTTTTTCAATATAATGCTGCTGCGTGGAGCAAGAATGGATTTTAGATTCCACAGAATCGATTGCAATCATGCTTCAGAGACATCCGACCTTAGAAGAAGAGTGGAAATTATCGCCTGCGGGATTAATTTTTTTTCAACCAAAAGGTCAAAAGCGCTTCTGTGTAGGCATGCACCAATCCTAAGCATAGGTTTGGTGTTGGGTATCAAGCTGCTTGGTAATAAAGTGTAAAAATTGATAATTTATACATTTTATCGTAGATATCGAGGTATAAAATGAATAAAATACAATAACTGTAAAGTGACTCCATGTTGGGCCCAGAAAGATTAAACTTAATCGATAACAAGGGGACATCCTTAACTGTCCCCTCGACTTTGGCTTGGAATAGACATTTTTATAGTTTATGAATGATGCTGGTTTGCAATATGCTCATGAGGACTAATGTTAGGCCTCTAGAAACAGACTTTCTGGAAAACTGATCTCTGGAAACTTCGTTTTCAAAACTGAAAAAACGTTTCTATGTTTTAATGTTCTATGTTTTGGTGGAAGACACACCCCCTTAAGAAAGTTTATCAGCACGAAGCATTCTACTATTCGATCGTCATTTTCGACCTAAAAGTGCGAGTAAACGAAGTGGATAAAAACAATACGAAACCGCAGAAAAAACTGGATGTTGTGACAGTAGTTTCCAATGAATTAGGTATAGGTATAGATATCTATAAGATTCATAGTTTTTACATCTTTGGGTCGAACAAGTAAACTGCTTAATTTTTACCACAAATTCTGATCTTAATGAGCGCTTTCTACAATAATTTGACTTTTTGAGGAACACGAGATTTTCTTCAGTGCTCTTAAACTAAAATTGCTTTTCTTCTTATTTAACACAGATGAATCAAAGTAATGCTCAACCTACAATATCGGTCAAGGAACATATAAGATAACAACCGATGCTGGAATTTCGACAACAGGTATTGCGACTTGTCTCACGCTAGTTATTTTTTTTAACGTCCGTTAGATGCAGAAAATCGTTATACTCTGATTGCGCCTTATTCCTCCGAATGTTTGCCCACACCTGTGAATGATGAGAAGTTCCCTGCGACTGAACGCACACAGTATTGGATCGGACAAGCATGCAAATTTGATCAAGGAGTACGTGGGCTAATTGAAAAGGATGATGAAGCAGTCATCAACAACATCGTGTTGATTGGTGGTGCAATTGATGATGGCTACAGCACAGCATTTGGTCGAGCGTTCGAAAAGATAGCATATATAACTTAACGTCTGTTGGTGCAGCCATAAAAGATTTTGTTGACAAAACCACGTTCGTATTGTTCTGTCCGTTTCTCGCATCTGCTTGGATCAACGGGGCCGAGTTTGCAGCAGACGCAACGGTTTTGGTTCAGCGTCAACTGTCAAGTGACTATATATCTATTTTCACGAACACTGGTTATGCAGGGTATCCAATTCCGTATGCGCTATTCGATATTTGCTTGGGTGAAAAAAACTACGTTTGTATGTACAAGTTTAGCGATCCACCAACACATTTGCACGTCGACATCGCTACTTACGTCGCAGACTTATGGTAACGAATCGATTTAGTACAGGGTCTTTCCACCACAAATAATGAAATTATTAAAATTCTAGACCAAAATATGAACATGTATCCAAATGTGAAGAGGAGATCGACAGTGTTGATTAACACTACCCTAAAATAAAACCGTCAGTTTAAGAACTTTCTTAAACTAACGATTTTATTTTAGGGCTTTTCTTCGATGGTTCGAAAGTGTACGGTTTTGTTTCTATGGTTTTAACCCTTTCAGTCCCGGCTTTTTTTCGAAGAAGTGAAAAATTATTTTTTTAAATTTCTTATTTTATTTCATTTGTATTTCGTATTTCAAAGAAAAGGAAAGATGTTTTACGAGAATACAAAGAAATTCTAACTAATAATGCAGTTTTGTGTGATAATCTTTAAAGCAAACAGGAACACAAAGAGGAACATCACACTCTGCACAAATATAAGTTGTTTGTGTTCTTATTTGGTGTGATGAACATACAATACATTGTCTTCGGCGTATTCTATTATTTCTATCGACACTTGGTATATACAATCCATATATATACAATACAATACAACTTGGTATGTACAATCCAATATACGCAGAATAGTAGTGAAGGAAAATCCCAATGTCGAATGTCACTATATCACAGAAAAGGAGATTGTGGGAGGATGTGTGAACGTAAGAAATAGTAATTCGATATGTCAATTTGAAGATATTGTTGACCTCTATTGAACTGTGAAATCAGCTTAAGTCCATACTTTAATGCTGAAAAGAAAAACATGGGTAACTCCTTAAGGAGTCGCCGGGACTGAAAGGGTTAATCTTTACGATTTTACTTCCATAGTTTTTCTTTTATACTTTTGCATTTTATGGTTTTCATAATGTGGTTTTTTACTTCATGGTTCTTCTGCACGGTTTTTTTTCGATGGTTATGGATTTTACGGTTTTTCTTACGGTTGTTTTTTCACCGTGTATGCAGTGCTATAGCTAAACAAAGCGATTCTGTGGTGCAAATAGCTCATGTTTTCGAGACTCTCGAGAATATCACTAAAACTCCTGAATCAAACACTTTCTAGAGCTGTAAGATTCTCATTTTGAAGAAGATCCTTGATTCCCTCTGTATATGAAGAGTGAAGTTAGTTTTTTGTAGTTTGTGATAAAGAGTAGTCGAATAAAAGAGTAATATTACATATCTTAACGCACGCATACAATCAACTCAAGGACTTATAATTAGAGGAAATATAGGTTCCTCACACAGACTATATGGATAGTTTCTACAGAGCTGCATGGAAAGGTCCTTCTGGCATTTTACTTAATCAGAAAAACCAAAAGAATTTAGTAAAGAGCCGTTTTCTTTTTTCTTAGCTTCACTGATTAACCTACTATACTTTTCTCTCACATCTATCGCATGGACAACACATTAGTTAAAGCGAAGTTGATCTTGTGGCTGCTGCTCAACGATAATTTCCGTTTGTTGATAATAAGGTGTCATTGTCAGCCTATGTGAACAAGTTCTCCGAGCGATCATTCAAGTTTCAACGGAGTTAATAAATAAATTGGATAACCTCTTTTATTTCTTCTTTTCTACTTTTAAGCTTTAATTCTCATCTCTCCAGTCCAATAGCCATTCAAATCGGACGTGTCCACAGCATCTATGTCCAAAGGTACCGAGACAGTGAGCATGAAATAGTTTCTTCCAGATTATCACGCGACCGCCGTTGTTGAAATTCGAACTCGGTACTTTGTCGTCTGTTGTCTGCCCACGACACGAACGAGTCACGCTGCTCTTTGCCCTACTGTTCTTTCAGCAAAATGTAGTCAGTTAAAACTTGATTGATCACTTAGAATGCAGTAAGTTCAGGTTCTGAATTTAGGATTTGAATGATATTTTGAAGAATAACATCACTCGTAATCTGTCAAGGCTGAGCGAACAACGTGGATATAAAATGATCAATTCATGCACAGAAAGTTTCTCCACATAGACGATTCGCTTTTCATCTTATATTTTGGCAAATAATGGGCACAAAGTACCGACAAGCGTAAAATAAATACAAGAAAAAGGGAGGTAAAACGACCACTACGAGAAGGCAGCAAGTCTTCGAGTACTCCCTAAACAGCTGTCATTGTCGTGAGAGCTCGTATAATACAGGATGTAGAACTACGAATATAACGACGATAAGCTTGTGAACTGCATCGTCCTAAAATCTTGATCAAATAGATAGATACTCCTGCTTTTGCTGCAGAAGTGGCAGCACCAATACCAAAATGTCCCAAGTAATGTGTTGCAGTATAACTTAAAGATGTTAACAGTGTCCTGAGTCTCTTCGCCATGACTGCTCGTGTTAAGACTGTTCCATTCAACATCAAGAAAAGGAGATGCTGCGAGGAATTTGGTTTGAAAACTGTATGACGTTTTAAATATTTCTACGTAGCTAGTATTGGACATAGTGAGTGTGGCATTTTATAAAGTCTTATGGTAACACCGCGACAACTTCTGTCCATTTTAGAACGTTTGAGATGTATTAGTAATTCTAAATTTGTTAATTTGAGGTCTTGTAATAATACATTTTTCAATGGATGATATTTATCCGCACCAACCTCTCCTGGTCGGAGAAAACCATGAAATAATATAGTAAAAACAGCTTTCAGCATCGAATCCCAGTAAGGTGAAAAGTATGTACTATTCAATAGAGCAAAAAGCTTAGTGAGCAATGTAAAAGTGATTGATCTACGAATTCTAGGTGATGGTCCTTCTAATCTTTCTGCAGCTTTCACTAAAGTAGAGATTGTGAATTTTCGGACATCATTAGCTTGACGAGAAGGATCCTGTCCACCTCTTCGTAGGCATTCAAATCGTACTGTGAAAAGATACCCTTTAATGGAACTGGCTAGAATGTTTAAGACTCCTACGTAATAAATTATGAATTATTCAATAACATAGTCTGTAATTTCTGCTGTACGAGATCCAGTAAAGTCATGCAAAAATCGTTGGAATTTTCTAAGTTCCGATGCATACGATGATTTCATTGTCAGACAACACAGAAGATCACAATTTCTTGGACCAAAGGCGTAACTTAATGAGTAGATCTGTTTGTTTCATCTTGCAAGAGCGTCTTTCAGTTACTAGATAGAAGAGCAAAAGTGATCTTTAGCAGCAAGATACCCAAGCAAAAACGACCCAATTTTTTGGGTTATTTATCTAGATTCAGCTCCACGTACATCTAGATGCACATGGAGCTGAATCTAGATAAATAACCCAAAAAATTGGGTCGTTTTTGCTTGGGTACAGAGCTTAATCGAGGAAACTATCACCAGTGTACTGGTAGTCTACTCTTCTGGACAACTAAGTCCGCTTTACATCTGAACATGTTAGGAACGTAGCTATACATAAATCAGCCTACAAAACTCTGGTAAATCACACAGATATTCATTTGCATATAGGACTAGTTCTCTAAATCTAGCAAAATCAGCTCTTGATAGAGCGTCGGCTATGGTGTTCGTGATATCTAGTATATGTTTTCCTTGCAAACAGAAATTATGTTCAAGTTGTAATAACGTTAATCTTCACGAAAAGTGCATAACTGCAGGCGATTTTGAACGGCCTTTGTTAATGATGGATACTAAAGCCTCATTATCAGGATGCATTAGTATTTTATGACGTGTCCATAAAGCACTCCAAATTTTGGCTGCTATAACTACTGGCACAATTTCTAGGAGTGAAGATTCACGTATATGTTGTCTAACTGGTATAAAATCACCCTCCCATTTACCTACAAACCATTCACGCCCTAAAATTCCTCCGAATCCTACACCGCCAGAAGCGTTTGTGTACAAACTCAATGCGATGTCGGAAGTGAATGTGGATTCTAAGAATAATGCGTTACCATTACGTATTTCAAGGAAATTAACCCACATGTTTAGGTCCGATAAAGCATCACGATCTAGACGTACATGATGATGCAAAAGTTTTACTTCGGTAGATAACTGAAATAAGTACGGCATAAGTGAGCGTCCAGGAGTGATAACACGTCTGGTAAAATTAAAATGGCCATTGATTACAAGCAATTCTCTTTGTAATTTTACTCTTGTTAACGTATCGACCAATAATTGATAACATCCTGGAAACTTTCTCTAGAGGAGGGCTAAATTCAAAAACTATCGTGTCCAATGCGCTTCCTAAGTATTCGACAGATGTTGAAGGCCCGATGGTTTTAGGAGGAGATAACGAAATGCCTAGTCGGCGAAAAACTGTCGTCAGCAGCGCCATGGTACGATACGCTTCTTCTTCCGTAGCATCAATCACTAGAAAATCATCTAATAAATGATGGATGTGTGTAGTATGATAATTGTTTCTAAATATCCACACGATGGTTTAGATAGGATATCAAAAAATGTGAGCACTGCTGCGACTACCAAATGGTAATCGCGTCCAAAAATAACATTTTGAATTCCACTGACATCCATAGTACGACCATAAACGAGGATGTAAAGGGAGCAACTTGAACGCATCTGTGATGTCACATTTATATAGTCATGCTCCTCGCCCTACACCCTGAATAGTTGATATGGCATCATCGATCGTGGTGTAAGTCATAGAGCACTCAATATACATAGATCACATTGTTGTCAAACGTTGATTAGCGATAGCGGGTGCAGATGAAGTATATGATGACGGACAGACTGTTTTTGAATGTTCACCTTACAATCAAGAGATCTGTGAGCATACTGGCATACTGTACCTCGATTACATCCTCTTTCTTCATTAAAATTAAAACTAATATCCCAGGTCAAATTCGCCCGATTGGATTCTTTTAATTCCGGTGATTTCTGGAGACCAGACGCCCGACCGGATCGGGACATAGGAATCTACTCAATTCCTTCGCGTTCCGATATTTGGTTCCTGAAGGACCCGGAGATCGGATCTGATATCCGGAACCAGTCGGATCCGTTAATTTCCGGTGAGCGGAAATTGACGGATCATATATTCACCGTTTTGTTTAAGCACTTTAAATACGACACTAGAGAAAATGAAAAATGAGAAGTTGCTCTTCTCAAATTCTTAATGGTATGAGTCATCGCTAACACTGTTCAACGGACGTGTTGTACACGTCCTAGCTAGTCGGGCCTTCCATTCTCTCGAATAAACAGAGAGAAGAACCACTAGAAAATGAAAGAAAAAATTTAAGACTATAAGTAACCTCAGAACTGATCACATTCGGCCATATTCGGATCCGGTCGGATCTTTTCCGACATCTTTCGGCATGGATTCCGAGCAGCGGCATAATCCAGCACGGTTGCTGCCGGATTTTACCGAATTCCGACAACTTCCGGCATGTTCCCATGTTGGATCCGGTAGGTTTCATCAGGATCCTGACGCCTGAATCAACGACCTGAGATGTCGTCCATCTGATAGGGTAACAGGATGACGCCGTGGACGATTGTTTGGACAAACGGGAAAAGTAGATGTTGGCGCTGACGACATTTGTAATAGTGGATTTTGTGATAATGTAAATGGATTCAAAGGAGACAGAGCCCGGCAAAAGTCAGTCAAATGATCAACAGCCTTATAGTGGTCACAATTGCGAGCACGTCGTCCCGCAAAAATAGAAAAATACAGTTCATCATCTCACGACCAGTCAATCTTGACACCACTTGCAGATAGAATTGCAGCAGCTTTACTAGAAACCTGTTTATGGTATTCAAAAAACAATGGTGGTGGAAACCAATCGAAGTAAGTACACAGCAATTTGCGAAGAAAGAAAGAGAGAGTTAAATCGTCCTGCGTTTTTTCTGTCACAAAACTGAACTATCTTTCTCATTAACAGTTATGAAAGGTCTTTCTGCTCAGATAATGTACCGAATCTAAGGTCCTTTCCCCATTGTGTAGGCTCAGTTAAAAATTTTGATTGTGCAAGATCTTCAAATAAAAATACACAAAAGTGAGACATGCATCAAATGATTGATGTTTATCATTACAATTGTGAATTTCCTTGGTGTAAGATCGCTTTGCCGTTGGCGGCTTCCAGGATGTTGCAAGTATCAGTTTGGTCCTGTTTGATGCACAGAGAATTGGATGCCAAGCTATACCGCCTCATTCACAGAATGCTAGATTGGCTCTAGCAACGAACTGATATTAGCGTCTAGTATTTACGGATACGCTTCTCTGAAAGTCCAAGCGTGAATGTTTGCTTCACATACGATAAACGTTACTTTATCGGTAAAACTCACAGGCGTACCTTAAAAGACATCAATAATTCTCATTTTTATTTCGAGATCAAATTCCAGTCACACGTCAAAATCAAAACTGAGAAATACAACGCGGAGCGAGCTTAATCAATCTGAAAGGACCATTTTTCTGAAACATACACATCACAGATTATCGGAAAATTATATTCATCAGTGTAACAAAAGATAATATGAAAATTTTAGAGGGTAGAGTGAATCGTAGAAAGTCAAAATTGCTGTGTACTCGCTTTGAACTGTCATGAACTTTTCATTGAAGACGACTTCTTTTCCTTTGAAGATAAAGATTGTGGCATCGTGAGAGTGCCAGATGGTCGCAAAGGACTAAAAACTGATTGCATCATGTTCTCGAAGGAAAGTCCGAGTAAAACATGATGTAATCAAGTCTAAAAAACGAAGCTAGAGCTATTTACAGCTCTGAAAATCAATAATGCATGACTTTCTTAAGGGATGCACATGACCTGATGACAATGACCTGATAAGAAGTTCAACATGTTCAGATGGAAATGCACGACTCATGTTCATGTAGCAGAAAATGAATTATTATCAACTCGATTTACAATTGTCCGGTTCATTCTCATACTCTACTCTTACTTCGTACTTTACTCTTTGTATTACAAAAAACTTCTAAATGATTTTAAAACAATGACTTATTCTTCTTTATGAACATACAACCTTGATTAGATATAAAGTATTTCATGACGATAACCATAGTATTTATAAACTTTTCTCTCTGTTCAACTATCAATAGTTATAAAAATAAAAATATAAGATTTTAACAGCAGCTTTATACAAAGTAAACAGTAAACAGTGCCGCGGTAATCAGCGTGCCAGATAGCCTATGCACCATGTATTTTCCAGGTTCCTAGAGCTCAAATTTGGTGAATAGATAGGTCTTCGGAGATCACCTGTAGCATCCGAACCATGGTAGATGGAGATGTCGACCTTGCGCCAGGTTGGAGAGCAACTGCTCTATAACTACATGTATTTAGAGCAATATTTCAACATGTGGATTTTTAGAATGACAGGCTCGGACTTTTTGCTTCGAAAGGTACACTGTGGCAGACCTGTCGGAGAATACTCATTTTAGCATAAGATTATGCCTATCCGGTGCTCTCTTTCATAATCTCAAAACTGCAGCTGTTTAGCTCATTTCGTTTTCGAGTTATTCAAAAAACATTCAAGTTCATTGTATTTTGGCGCCGATAGTTGTCTGATTTTTTAAAGATCCTCTCAAAATCCTGCTTTCGGTAAAGATTCAAAAATTTGTTTTCCTAACGAAAAGACGTCCACCAACTTCCTCTATGGAACAGAGGAAGCCACACTCATCTATGTGTTTTCATTTAAAAGTTGTTTGAAAAATATCTAACTGCATTTTACTCTGAAATGTACTGTGGCTATGCTAAAGAGAAAGCTGAATTTTAAGAGAAAAAAGAGACTGACAGTCGGGAAACTTTTTTTCCCTTAATCACCAATGTTAGCATTATATTACTTAATAATCGAGAAAAGATTTGATTCGAGTTTATTTTTTTCAAAATTTTCACTCACACCGTACAATACCAGCGCAAATCGCACATGTGCACAAAACAGAACGATGAAGGGAAGATGTATTTTATGTTCTCTCCATAGTACATTTATCATACTGAATTCATCCTCCATAGTGTCTACCTAATGGCTTTTAATCAAAGCTATTCAAGCGTATCGTATGTTATTGCATAGAAAAGAATGACGATGCGGCGGCGGTGTGCGCAAGCATAGAGGAGAGAGACAGAGAGAGGTGGTAGATAAGGGAGCAATTTCCTTTTTTGTTTCTTCGTATGATTCTCTTTGCTCTCTTTTTTTTACATTGTTTAATAGAGATCGAATGTCTACGGCGCTTCAAGACAAAAGTATTGAGGTCGAGAAGAGTTCAACCCTCTTCTCTCTCATCGAACAACATCATTTGAGCGAAAAATCGGTCGCTCGAAAAAGCGACCTTAGTAAGTTGTCGACCAATGAGTTTGCAGCGTATGGTGTGGAACATTGTGCCGAATTGGAATACCGTGCAGAATTGGCTCGTCGAATTGCTGACACGTTTGATAAAGCCGATACGATACTTATGTTCGACAATATTATCCCCTCCGGTCTTGACGGATTAACAGGGGATGACGTTTCGGATTCCGATCGATCCCTGTTATCCGCCTTATGGTTGTCAATTGGTTTTCGCCATGGTGGGAAAGTTCTTATCTATGCACCGCCCAACCCAGTCGAAATGAAAAGCTATTTGAAACTGAAGAACATTGTCGAACAACGGTTACAAAAGCAGGTTCCTATTCAAATCCTCCACGAGACGGAAAAATGTAAGTGAATATTTCCTGAATCTTTTCAACGAATCAGCCACCTGAAGAACAACTCTGTTGACCAGTACAACCATCTCGTTTTTTACTTGTCGCCATGGTTGAGTCGGTATACAATATCAATAAGGAAAACGTTTTCGATCCACGAGCGTTTACTGTATACCTGGCGTGGCAAACGTTTTGCGACATTTTTTGTTTTGCATATATCTCAGTTCAGAAAACGATAAGGTGTTGATTTTCATTTCAACGGACGCAGAATTTTATTCTTTATCAAAGTTACATCAGCCTGTCTCTACAGTTTTTTATAAGGTTTCTGCAGACGATCAGAAGTGAACATGTATGTCATAATTGCTATTTCCCACTGAAAAGCTGTGGAAAAGTTCTAGCAATCACCAGCTTGTAAATAAGCAAATAAGGTTGATTTCTCGCCGAGTAAGATTTTATGAAGTATCTGGCTCGATTGGCGCAAAAAAATCAACAGAAACATGGGCTGAAATACGCATATCAATCAATCGATTGGGTGAAAAATGACTTGAATTAAGGCCCCCCGCCCCCTCAAAAAAGTCAGTTTTCGTCAAAAATTTCGAAATCGAGATAAATACATGGGCAGATAGCCCATCTTCTGCTCTTTCAGAAACACTATTGGTTTTTTCTTCGGCACCCCATTTTTGACCGAAATTTTTGATGATTTCCATTAACTTCTACTAACCATCATGAAATTTTTTTTTTTCAAAAAAAATTGATT